GAGAGCGCAGGAGGCACCGACATGGCTGGGGAGGGAGGGAAGGAGGGAGGGAGGGAGGTCACCTCTGGGGAGCAGCCGGGCGGCAGGGACAAGAACAATTTTCCTGCTCAAAAATCTTCAATCGTTTTATTAATAAAAAGCACCTCCCGGTTTTATCTTACGTCACGCTGAAGTCTTAGCAGTGCAGTTTCCTTGTAACACACAGAAAGACAGGACCTCAGCGTTCCAAACTGGGAAGATGTTGCCACCAGAAATATACATGAAGGGTTATGTTCCAAAGACATGAGCTCTTTATCAGACAATAAACCTTATGACTGCCTTTGTTTCTGAGCTTCATTTCACTCTGCAGCTTCCTATCAAGCACCTCTACCACATATAAAATCTATGCAATCAAATAATCCCAGACCACACAACATACCAGTCCGTACCTTATGCAAAGTCTTCCATGCTGGTTTTAACTAAAAGACACATCAATTCATCCTGCAGCCTCAGCTGCAGGCTGTGCAGCACCAAACATGCTAGTAGACATTTAAATATGTCTCAGGGTGGGTCTTGCTAATTGGGGTGATCTGTGAAACTCTGTGAAATCTGTACTTCAGAAGCTGTAAGTTTTTAGTCCTGTAAGAAACTGACTTAAGGGTTACACTAAAAACCTGATTTATTTTAAAAAGAGTGAAGAAAACAAAGGCAATTTAATTCTAAAGGAATGTGGTCAGTTAGTGGACACACACAAAAATGAGGCAAACTTGCTAAGTTATTCTAAATCTTGCAACAAACTGTCACCAAGTCAAAACTCACAGAGCTCAGAGAGCACCAAAAGCAGCAGCCAAACCCCCAGCACCAGGAGTGGGAAACAGGCACCCTGTGTAACATGCTTTTGAATTGCTGGCAGTGCTGGTCTGCCCACTGCCAGTATTAACATCTTTTCAGCAAGGGGATAATTAACTTGAAGTCCACTATTTTTAAAAACATTTCTCTCTTCATAGTTCATTTTACTGACAAACTAACTGAAGACCATCACCATTCAGCAGCCTGTCTCTTTGAAGTGTTCTTTCACAAACAAGTCTGTGTGGGCTGACACATCCCAGTTCTGCTTCCTGCATCATCCACGTCAAAGCTCTGGATCAAACATCTGCAGGATCTGTAGGAGATCCCCAGTGAGGCAGCAGCTCTGCTCCTGGGCCATGCAGTGCCACGCACACAGGCCAGTGTGCTATACAAATCTTCATCTGTGAAGCTCAGAGACCTCTTCAGGAGAGCCGGGTAGAACTGAATCACATATTTACATTCAAGTCCAAGAAAATAAGCCAGTCTGAGCAGCTTCATAAATACATTTTTTAGTTCATGTTTTTTCATATTTGTGTACTTACCACATGAACTGCCACACATTTGCTTTCTACCCATTCAGCAAGTGGTAAATAAAGCAGATTTTTAGCCAAGGTTATGAATTACAACCAAAAAATTGACAGTTCATTCTTCTGTTCCAGTCCACACAAATACCTGCTTCACCAACAAGCAGAAAATTCTGTCCCTAATCCAGCACCTCAGATTATTCCTGGTGCTCGTGCTCCTGTCCCGGGATCAGCCAGCGGATGCTCTCCGTGCGAACGGTGCCGTACAGGACAAAACTAGCCAGGAAGAGCAAGGAGAAGAGGAGCAGCCAGTCAATGCCTTTGGTCAGGACACTGGGCAGGGGCCCTTCCCAGTCTGCCTCTGTCACAGTCACATCACTTTTAGCCTCTATACCTGAGGGAGAAAGGATCAACACCTGTAAGAATCACCAAATACAGAGAAGTTGGGTCTGTTTGGGGCTTTGTTCCTGTTCTCGGCCTGAGGCTGGTTTTGGCAGGATGGTGCTTGTGTGTTCACATGTATCTAGCTCACAGTTTATTTACAGCCAATTGATTCTGATGTGTATTTTTCTAACAGGAGAAGGTTGGTTCAGTCCTTCCACTGCATAGTTTGTGTGGGGCTTTTTTGTGGAGGTCTTTGTTTGTTTGTGTTGAGTATTTCTGCTTTATTAGCAAAGGTAACACTTTCTGGGCTCTTATGAAGGCCCTTGGAGGCCTCTAACAACATAGAATCACAGGCTGGTTTGGGTTGGAAGGGGCCTTTAAGATCATCTAGATCCAACCCTCTACCATGGGCAGGGACACCTTCCACCAGCCCAGGCTGCTCCAAGCCCCATCCAACCTGCCCTTCAACACTGCCAGGGATGGGGCAGCCACAGCTTCCCTGGGGAACCCCTGCGAGTGTCTCACCACCCTCACAGTCCACAGTTCTCATTTTGTTTTTCTCTGCAGCAGCACAGAAGGACCTGAGAGCTGACTGGGGCTCATAACGTGTGAGCTGGAAACCTTCTGTGTCCTCTAACAGCAACCAGTTAGATAAACCTCTGCTGGGTTCTCTCAGAGTCTTCATCAAATTCATTTTAATCAAGAAACAGCAGGGAGAGGAAAGCCCAGTTTGGAGCTTGTGTCCTCTAACAGTAACCAGTTAGATAAACTTCTGCTGGGTTCTCTCAGGGTCTTCATCAAATTCATTTTAATCAACAACAGCAGGGAGAGGAAAGCCCAGTTTGGAGCTGAAAGCTGTGCTTCCTACTGACACATCGGGGCTGATTTACATACCTGTTTGATTAAAAATGAAGTCTTTCAGTGTTTCCAGTGTTCTGTCTGTATGGTTAAATCTAGCCATAGGTTTAGCACCTTGGAAAAGGAGGATATTTGGTACAGCCACAGTTCCAAATCTAGTTGATAAACTGGTGGACATAAAGCAAATACAAAGCATGAAGGAAAAGAAATCCACTAGAGGAAAAGAGTCAGCAGACAGGAGGTGCCAGTTTGACTACATTGTCACTTGAAAGGGAAATAAAGCAATGCTAGAGCA